ATATTGTGTTATAGCTAAAAGGCTGCTGTAGTTGAGGAATCACCAGCATTTTTCTGGTGAGAGCTACTGAGTAATGAAAAATAAATAAATAAATAAAATCTCAGGCCACTCTCCCCTCCCTGGGATGTTACCATGTTTTGTTTTGTCCTATAAACAGAACATGGCATAGAAAATGCACCAGAAGTGAAACTGTCTTCTAAGCAGCACAGAGCAAAATGCTAAAAAGTTTTTTTCCATCCCAAAGCACATCTTTTTGGAATCTTTCCTAGGTTTTCTAAGAGCTACAAAAGCTACTGTGCAGCAGCCAGTAGCTTCCAAGCTACCTGTTGGAGACTCTTGTTGGGCAAAAAATCAGCATAAGGAGTTGCTTAGAAACGAGTATTTGAAAGCGTAACAACTGGTGGCCTTTTGTTACTTAAAACAGAGGCCAAGACCTCAGAGGTGTGCTAAATCAAGTTTATGATGGCCCAACAGGTCCACATACACCAAAGTTATTACTTGAAAGTGAGTTGGTATTAGAGCAAGTTTTTTGGCTCTGACAATGATCCTTTTTGGATTAAAATGCACTGGGCCCTAAAATATATTCTGGTGTTCCTTTGAGGTTTTTGCCTCTTTTGTTCTGCAGCTGGAATTTCATTGTTGTGGCCTCTTCCTGCTGTACATTAATTGCAAGTGTACACTGATCCTGCAATTTGTATCGGATTTATACAGCGCAGGTATTTATGTTTTGATTTGGGATCTCCACATATATCTTCATCACATGAATGTGAGATAAAATCATGCAGACCATGTCAAACAAATGGCCCGTGGGCCGGAACCAGCCCGTGCAGTTCTCAAATCCGGCCCACAAGCAACTGGCTCTCTGTTGCTTCCTTTTCCAGGGCTGCCACTGTTACTTGTCTCCTCTCCCCTCCTTTGGGAGGGACAGAGAAAGATTAAGAGGGAGCGAAAGAGATCAACAAAGTTTTATTATGGGTATAAGCTTTTGTGTGCATGCATGCACAGTTCTCTCAGTCCTGCGGGAGAGGTAAAAACCTTCCCTTTCCTCCATTGGCTGTCTCCCTCCCCACCCCACTTTGGGTCCCATGGCCCCTTTATGACCAACAAAGTTTTATTTCCGGCAGCTGAAAACTCCTTTGTAATAATGTTCAGTTGGCTTTGAGCTCCTGTTTTTTGTTGCTTTTTCCTTGCCTTATAGTGCAGAATTAAGGTTCCTGGGATGGTTGCTGAAGGAAGGAATTTCTCAGCTTTCGGCTTTATTGTTTGGCATATTAAACAGCCTTACTCTTGCATGTTAACTCTGAAGTTTGTGAGTAGGGCTTGACCTGGAGTTTTGGGGGCATGGAGCCTGAGGAGGGCAGGGTTTGGAGAGGAGAGGAACTTCAGTGGGGTATAATGCATACAGTCCACCTTCCAAGGTGGCCATTTTCTCCAAGTGAACTGAACTCTGTCACCTGGAGATCAGTTATAATCCCAGGAGATCTCCAGCCATCACCTGGAGTTTGGCAACCCTAGTTTTGGGCTGACGCGTAACTTTTCTAGCACTACCACCTCTCTGCATGTCACAGCTAATCTAATCAAGCCTACTATTGTCATTCATCTGCTATGCTATTCGGCGTCTGAAATCACCTTTATATTTCTGGTATCTCGTGTTACATTTTATGGCACGCATGGCTCCACCCAACAAAATGACCTTTATGTCAGATCCGGCCCTCATAACAAATGAGTTTGACTCCTATGATGTAGATGTTTTCCTGTATTCTAGGCAGAGAAGCTTGTGCTTGGCATGTAGATGAATGTTGGCTCTTCTGACCTTTGGAATAATTGAATTGAATTAGTGGAACCAAAATATCACCTGTGTTTCAGGCATAGAACAGTGGAGTTGTTTCCTTGTCATTACTTCACTCTTGAGCTATAAAGAATTTATCCTGCATTGTCTAGATCAGAGAAGATTTATTGCTGTAAACCTACCTGGAATGTTGCTGTTTCCATAGGAATACTCCCTTGGTCAAATAGCAAACCAAACTTGCTGAGGGTATAAGCTCTATGAACAGATTACACCAAATGCACAATCAAAATGGTAAAACGTGTGTATTGTACAGGTACACTTGTTGTGAGATGATGATAAGCTGGAACTCCTCACAGAGTGTACATTCAATTGCATATGTTTACCACTGGTAGTATTTGAAATAAACCATAGTTATGTGTTCTCTTTTTCCACTGAAGTCTGTATTGATGGGCACAATACTTATCATGTTCTTGTTTCTCAAAAATTTCACGGTGAGAAATGTTGGTGTGCTGCATGCATTGAATGTCTTATGAATGCTGATTCAATGTCTAGTGTAGTGTCCTTATCCTGTGAACAAATAATTGTGATATGGAACATGTTTCAGGTTTTCCAGCTACTACGATTAGAAATATATAAACAGCAGCAATTCTGGTAGCTTTAGGATAGGGCTAGTATGTCTGTGCTCTCAGTACCCAGGAAGAGATACTTTTCAAGCTTAATGTTTCAGCACCTAAGAGAACTTTTTACCAATTAATTCCGTTATTCTTACTACTTCTTTATACTCTATTATTGTGAGGCCTGGTTAACTAAGCTAATATCAGTCTCACAGCTAAGCTGTTAGTGTTTATCCATTTTAAAAAGTTGTATTTATTCAGTGACTCTTCAGTTTTTTAATCATTTGTTTTCTTACTCTGCTATAAAATAAGTTCTAAGAGCAGGGCTTTTTTTTTCTGGGGGAACGTGCCAGAACAGAATTCTGAAACATCCCCGACAAAATTATTTTAAAAATGTTTAAAAGTTCATGAGTTTTCAGTATACAGATAGAAAACTTTGTTTCCACTTGAGAGTTCTGCCACCTCTTTTTCAAAAAAAGAAAGCCCTGTCTAAGAGTACTGTACAAGTCAGCATATAAAGACGAAAGACCTGTATAAGTGCTGCAAATGCTCTTCTTGGCTGAGACCAGGACCTTCATCTAACAAAGTCAACTACTTGTATGTTTCCAGCACTTGGTAAAACAAGGAAACAAAGTTCCAAGATAAACAGCATAGAACAGTGACTATTGAAAGAGTGCTCAGGATTGCTAGCAGTAGTCAAGCAAACTTAGTAAGCAATGTAACTGGGGGGGAAATGTCTGCTGACTTATTGTCCTTTCTCTTTTAGGTTCACAAAAAGGATAAAAAGTACAAATGTATGGTATGCAAGAAGATATTCATGCTAGCAGCCAGTGTTGGAATAAGACATGGATCTCGACGCTATGGTGTTTGCGTTGACTGTGCAGATAAATCTCAATCAGGAGGGCAAGAGGGAGTAGACCAGGTTCAGGACACAGATTTTCCAAGAGATGAAGAGTTTGAGGAAAATGAAGTGGGAGAGGCTGACGAAGAACTGCCTGAAGATGTAGAAGAACAGAATGACCAGACCCGATGGGATGAATCTGGGGAAATCTGCGTGCCTTTAGAAGACTGACAGGGCAAGATGGCCTTCCAGATGCTTTATTTGGACATCATATGGATTGACCATGTAGATTTCTTGACTGAAGGCTTGGAAAACATGGTACAGGCTGGATGGAAGTTATGTTGCTGTGAAAATTGTAGGGTCAAAGCCTTATAGCAAAAAAGGATTATTAATTTTTTAAAGATATTTGCACAGGACTGTATAGCATACAGCCATTTGGTTGAATTATAGTCCTCACATCTACAGTCAATTATCAAAAGAAAAATGTATTTTTATTATTTATAGGATATAGCTATTTGGTTCCTATTAAGCATAGTAAAAACTATGCTTGCGTTACACATTCATGTGTCCTTTAACATGAATGAAGAAAATTGCAATCTTGTTTAGAAATACAGAGATGGCTCCCTCAGATCCAATCACAGTTCATGAACAAATATGGCTAATTTGGACTAGTTACTTCTGTTTCCTGAAAGTGGGCTTTGCCACATATCCCTTGCCTTCCCCTCAAAATATCAGCATCTTGATGAAACTGATCTAGGTTGCTTGGCTGTTGGTCAGGAAGTGGTTTATCTTCCAGCTGCTGGAGAACTTAATCAATGATACTTAATTTACTAATTTCCTTGGTTTTGATATTGTGAGTTTGCAAAAAGCTACTACTTTTTCACAAAATACACAATAATGACTTAAATTACAAGGAGGATTGTGATTGGAATGAAAGTAATTTTCTCCTTGTCACTTAAATATTTTATATTAGACACTTTCTGGCATGGCTGCCCATGTTATTAATTTATGTTATGTTAGCACTATTCCTATTGGGTTATCCTTTTTATTCACTACTGTATACCTCAGTCCATCACAAAGCTTAAGAGTCCTAGATTCTGAGGAAGAGTGTCATAGAAATAGTAAATGTCATAAGACTTAAAATTTGATTTAAATAGTTCAACCCAAGTTGTTTGCTTTTGCCTAGTTCTGTTATGTGGAAAAAAATAGACAAGGCTGTCTCTTTTTTTTCTTGTGCCCCATTGCTCTTTCATTAAAGTGAACACAAAATAAGTCTTTGCTTCTCTCCTACTTTGGGGGTTCTTTTATATACCAAACAAATCAACATTAACTTGGCAGCTTTATTTGCTGGAACCTTTTTAAAAATAATCTTGGTATTTGTTAGTATAATTGATAGAGCTATTTATCCCCAATGCTCTTTGCTTGTTTTTGGATGAGATGTTGAAACTTGAATTTTTGTAGCCATAAATCTTTTCTAAACTTGTTATATTGTACCAATGATTTCAGGCCTTTTTTTCTGAGGGAAGGGAGGGTATTGCACCTTTTTATGCTTAGAATTCTCAACTTCATCTAGTCTGAATGCAAGTGAACTACTTGAACTTGAGTCATTGCGTTCAATATACTATGTCACAATGAATAAATATGCACAGCATTTACCATAACACAGCTAGGCCAGTGTGACAGTACTGTATAATAATTTGAGGGGGCACCATATTTGAGTTTTAACTTTAAAATGAGTATATTTTCCTATTTTATATTGGTAACTAAATTATGGTAGTTGTGTGGTAAACTTAATTGCTTTGATGGATAGAATCTTAATGGTGCTCATCTGATCAAAGTTGATATTATATATTATATTATATTATATTATATTTAAAGAGACAGCTTTATTATCCCTTATTTCATTACAACAATGGCTTAATGTTAGACACTGTTTCTGCAGGATGAAACAGAGATAATGAATTATATGGGTATTAAATTGTAACCTTTTCTATCCAAATGCTTCATTGGTAGATTCCACATCACTGTAAACTTGACAGCTGGGTAGTTCTTGGATCTTTAAAAAAAAAAACTGAATACATCTTATTCTCGTTCTAGAATGAAATGAGTAATGTGTAATTCTGGTGGGGTCCAAAGTAGAAAATAGTGGGGAAAGATAATATGAATGGGAAGTATTTTAAACGTTAAGTAAATGTTCTGCTCTGTGAATATGTAAGTTATAGTATAAAGGTTCTTCCACCCCATTTTCCCCCCTTAAAATAGTTTGATTGGTAGACCTGCCTATCTATATATATCTATCTATAGATATATATAAAAATCTGAAATTCACCTAAATCTGCTTTATTAGAATATACTACTCTGATGCTTAAACTGGACCTGGCTTTACATTCTTAATGTATTTTACTTTTTCTCTTGAAACCGAATCTCCTTTTGCTACTTAAATCATTTATGTATATCTGGTAAATTATGACCAAATTTGTTGTTAGATTGCATACAGTAAATTGAAATATACACTTGGTACACTACAGAATTGTTGTGCTTTTTGTTCGGGTTATATTGTTTGCAAAAAATTCTTATAGATGTACTTAAATATTCTTCAATTGACGTTGAATTTTGGTAGATCTGAATTTTGAGCGTTTCCAACTTGTCTAGTCAAACTTAAGTTTCTAATAGCTGTAGTTGGGGGATTTTTACTTATTTCAAACATAATGTTGATTCGCCCAGATTGTATTATTGGAATACAACAGAATTGTTAGCAATTGGCACTCCTTGTGTTCTATAGTCTCCTAGTCAAGGCAACTGTCTGGCAGTCCGTAGAAGACCTTCTGATCATTTTAAACTTTAAAAAAAGTTATTGATTCTACCTATTTTATAAGAAAAGGTAGGAATTTATTTCAGAGAAATCTCACCTTTGAGATTCTGTGATGCTTAAATTATGCATTCTAGTATTTTTGCACATGCACTTGTATTTTATATTTCTTGGAGTTGTTGGGTCTACAGGCCAAGAAGCTGAAGGAACTGTCTGATAGCCATTTGGTACCGGATACCTCATATCCCATTCTTCTGTGGAAAGAGTCTCTCATGTAGAGGCTGTGATTCAAAGGCAGAATTATATGCATTGTATGAAGAAGGTACTAGGTCTCTTGAGTTAACGCATATTGGGTAATAGAGCGCCTGCCCAGAATCAGGAAGAGTTGCATGAAATTCATTATTTATAACTTAGCATACAAAATTGTACTATTTGGCATATTTATGGAATTTAAAGGTATAAGTATCTTCATTTTCTATTTTAAAAGTTGCAAATATACCTAATAAGAGGAAGAATTACAAACTGCTGCAACTGATGCTATCTTAGCGTAAGTATCTTTAATTTTTGCCTTATGAAATATAAGAAGAAATCAGAGTTGAAGGTAGGGAAACAAATTCTGTAGATAAGAAAAAGTGTATTATTTTGACCAAAACTCAGTGCTACCTACTGGACATTTTTTGATATTATGCTAAACTTTGTAATACTGAAAACACCAAACTCTTTAATAATGTATTATTATGAATCCCATAGTATATTAACTGTTGCCAAATTTACAGTTAAAACAAAAAAATCTTGAAAAGATTGTGTGTGTGTCCAGAGGAGGGCAACGAAGATGAAAAGGGGTCTGGAGACCAAATCCTATGAGGAAAAGTTGAAGGAGCTGGGTATGCTTAGCATGGAAAGGAGACAACTGAGAGGTGATATAACCATCTTCAAGTACTTGAAGGGCTGTCATATAGAGGATGGTATGGAGTTGTTTTCTATTGCCACAGAAGGTCAGACCAGAACCAAAGGGTTGAAATTAAATCAAGAAGAAGAAGAGAAGATTGGATTTATACCCCACTCTTCACTACCCAAAGGCATCTCAGAGCGACTTACAAACTCCTTTCCCTTCCCCTCCCCACAACAGACACCCTGTGAGATAGGTGGGGCTGAGAGAGCTCTGACAGAAACTGTTCTTTTTTCAAGAACAGCTCTTATCAGAACTACGACTTGCCCAAGGTCATCCAGCCAGGTGCAAGTGGAGGAGTGGGGAATCAAACCCGGTTCTCCCAGTTTAGAGTCCATGCACTTAACCAGTACACCAAACTGGCTCTCAAAAGAGTTTCGGCTAAATATTAGGAAGAACTTCCTGACAGTGGTTCCCCAGGGGAACAGGCTTCCTTGGGAGGTGGTGGACTCTCCCCAGCAATGCTGATTTTATGAATTTAGTCAGATCATGAGAGGGCAGGAACAGTTGCATCAGTGTTTAGTTCCTGTGGCCCTTTCTTACACACCCAGGAAAATGCTGATCGCCACTTTGGGGTCGGAAGCAATTTTCTCTAGGCCAGTTTGGCCAGGGATGCTGGAGGGTTTTTTTGCCATCTTCTGGGCATGGAGCAGGTGTCACTGGGGGTGTGGGATGGGGGGTAGTTGTGAATTTCCTGCATTGTGCAGGGGGTTGAACCAGATGACCCTGGAGGACCCTTCCAATTGTATGATTCTATATAGTATAAGAGGGTTTTTTAGTACTTCCCAAAATATCTTAATTTTTTCCATTGGAGAAATTATGGAAGTCCTATGATTTTTCCATGCTATACATTTTGAATATGTCTTGCCTTTTTACACTTTTGAAAAGAGAAAAGAGAAATAGCGTACCGGGTTTGTTTCAAAGTGCTGGTTCTTACCTTTAAAGCCCCTATATGGCCAGGGTCCGGCATACCTGAGGGACTGCCTTTCCCCATATGTTCCCCCAAGGGCACTACAGTCGGGGACTTAACATCAACTGGTAACCCCAGGTCCCAAAGATATTAAATTTGCTGTTGCCAGGGCGTTTTCAGTGGCGGTTCCTACCTGGTGGAATGATCTCCCGGAGGAGAATCCGGGCCCTGCGGGACCTGGCGCAGTTCCGCAGGGCCTGCAAGACGGAGCTCTTCTGGCAGGCTTTTGAGTAGGACCCGCCACCATCACTATACCATCACCGTACCACCACCACTAAATGGAGTGGGTGACATCGGGGAACAAGACGGCCCTGGGAGGAAGGACGGATCGCTGTACCACCTGGAGTCCACCGTGTCGCTCTGGGACCACTTTGTCATGTGTGACCCCATCAGTTATTTGTGACATCTAGAGCACTTGTATTTTTTATATGAATTATTGTTTTATTGCTTGTTTTATCCTGTTTTTACCCGTTTAATCTTGGCATATTATGTGCCTCATTTGTTAGCTGCCCTGAGCCCATCTGGGGAGGGCGAGGTATAAATTTAATAATAAATAAATAAAAAAAACAAACTATTTCATAAGAGTTTCTCTTCAGTGTTCCCCCAAGTTTCCATGTTTTCCTCCTGGGCTCTCACATCTCTAGGTATAAGGCATTCTATGTGCTCATAAGTCTCATG